GTCGTCGTCAGCTGATTGCACTTGTAAAAATAAAAAACAAAGAATGAAACGGTGGATGAACTCGAGGCAGCCAGCGTGCACGGTGTGTTTACAGCGAACAGCTGGAGTTACGCTAAATACTGGGTCCGAAGTTGTAAGTTTTCATCAGAAAGGAAGTTTTTACACAGAGTTGAAGTTGCTGGAAATGTTTCAATAAATTTCCAAACTGTCTATTATTAACTATTAACTATTTTATTTTTGTGTTTCTTTCTCTGTGCTGGAGTTATTTTAACAACTTGACTGCTTTATCCAGTTTGTTATTAAATTTTGTTATTAATTTTTTCTCTTCAATATACTCCCACACACAAAAAAAGCTGTTTTTAATGGTCAAGCACAGCCTGTAGTTTTTCATTATATTCCAGTCAAATCTGATTTTCATTTAGAAGTTTTGCTCACGGATAGCGGTTTCAAATAATGATGCCTGTGCACTGCTTTGTACGGCGTACAGGCCTACATCCTACATCAGCTAGTTAATTTGCCTAATCTTCGCAGGTCTTTAGACCACGATGGAAATGCACACAACAATGGTCTGACGGGACCTTGTAGTTCCTTGAAAAGAGATCCGGAGAATAAAAAGTCCCGGGTACTTTTGGTCAAAACGCAGCTTATGAAACCCACGACCAAAATAGTCTTACGTTTTGTCAGTGTGCTATATTTGGATGTAATTATAGTGAATATATTATTCCCCTTGTTGCTGGGGACCCTGTGGAACCTCCTCAAGGACCCCAGGTGGTCCTCGGACCCCACTTTGAGAACCACTGCTGTCAGTCAGTGTGCCGTCAGCACAACACTGATGCTATGTTGAATCTTGATCACACAGCACCTTTACATGCAGAACACCTAACACAGAAAATGGATGTATGGTAAAGAAAAGGAATAACAGCTGGCTGTGCAGCGTGAAAGCAATCACGGCCTGAAGATTGGACTGTGTCTGGAAATGTAGTCCCTCGTCTGTCCTTGTGTTTGGCTCAATGCTCAGACACCTATTAATGTGAACAAATTCCTAGGGTCATTTCATTACTGTACAGACGGGAAACCTGAGGAAAACTCACCCTCTCCACAAACACAATGTTCAATCTTTCTGTCCCATAATGCTGCCTCTCTCTTCAGTTGTCTCACTCTCACCCAGTGTCGCCTTTTCTTCTTTTTCTCTCTACAAAGTCCATCTCAGAGATTTTGAAACTCATTATCGCAGCAAATTGCTCTGTCACAAGCGACACGTGGTGTTGCAATCCTCTCATATCATTTCGCTGCGAGTTAGCTTCTGACGCAGTTACTTCGTCTCATTTGTGAGGCTGATTGGAACGACTGAATGGGTGCTTTTCGTTAGAGGAGGATAACAAGTGGCCTCTCAGGTAGAAGGGCTTCATAACAACACACTACACACAATACACTCACCATGCATGAGCTCCTGTCTCGCATTAACACTGATTCAAAAAAACACCCTAACTTTCCGTTAGATGCAGACCTGTTTTTTATATTTAACTTGGGGGGTTTGACTCAGGGTCTGAAGTATTGCCAGTCCACGGTGAGAGAGGACAGACATCGGGTGACGTGTAGCGTTGTCAACTGACTTTGAGGAAAACAAGCGACCTGCAGCCTTGGACAAGTGCAGCAACAGTAAGCCCTTGGACAGTTTTGTTTTTAGTTTATTACAAATCTTTGAGTTTCCATAGATAAGCTGGTTTCTGTCCCATCTGGGATGCCAAATTCTCGTGGAAATTGTATATTGCTTGTGAGGGACTGAGCAAAACAAACTGTTAAAACAAACTGTTGTCTTTGAATAATTTATTAATAAAAGAGAATAAACAGAGAAATACTAAAACACATATACAGCTGGTCCAGAGACCTGCCGCCTAGGGCAGCTTCGGGCATCTGGCCCCAAGCAACGGGATGCATAATCATTTACACAGTCTAGGTTTCTGTGTTTTGGGGAACAAAGATCCTCTCCCGGCCTTGACGGAACATTCAAGGAGAGGGAGAGAGGAGTGGCAAAAGGGGCAAACAATAAACCTCATAGCCCTGACCTAAACCCTACATATGTGCACAGATTAATATAGTGATTATAGTAAAAGAGAGAGACATATTTTATACTGACAATTTTCTGCCATTACACAACAATTTATTACATAAAAACAAAGGCAATAATATAAAAGTAATAAAGTTCTTAGAGATAACTGTCAATAAAAGTCAGTCTGCTCACTCTCAGTATGTTTTATCACCATGGTGCATCTGGTTTTCCACAGTTTAAACATACAACGCTGAAAGGAGAAGGAAATAAGAGAGGAAAGGATACAATAAGAGAGGAGACACTCAGGAGGAGGCGAGAGGAATCAAGGAAACTGGACAAGGAAACAAGAGGACAGGAGACAAGGCAAGAGGAGACAAGGAGAGAAAGAGGAAATGGAGACGAGGAGAGGAAATAGTGACACCAAGGGAAAGAAAGGAGGAGAGGAAACAAGGAGAGAAAGCAATGGAAAAGGGAGGGAATGGAAGAAGAAGTGAGGAAAAGAAAGAAAGGGGAGGAAAGAAAGAAAGGGGAGGAAACAAATTCAGGAGATGCAATGACAAGAGGAGTATGGGAAGGAAACAAGGAGACAAAAGAAGTGGAGGGGAGAGGGAGAGGAAATGAGAGAAAACAGGGGGCCAAAGGAAAGGAAATTAAAGAAAGGGAGAGAAAAGGAAATAAAGAGGGCGATCTGTACATTTGACAATAGAGATCATTCATCTTTTAACAGAGAACCTAAAACACATTGTTACATGTTCTGACTCTCGGCTAGCGGTGTAGCAGCTAATTGCATTTTTGGAGGAAAATCTTTCACAAGTGGAAAGAAGCACTGAAATTGGCACAAACATTCATTGGGGATTGTAATTTTAATTAAAACATTAGCCATGCAAATATCAAGATGGCTGCAATTTTCAAATTTACATGGCTAATGGGATTTTTCAAAATAATGACCCACGGGGTACAAATTTGGTGCTTCTTTACAGATTTGAAAGATATGTTTGCTTATCTGCTGTATAGTGGTTTTGCTCATGCTGCCTGATTTTCTGTCTCTGTTTTTTTTTGCTTGTGCCTCAGGTTCTCCTCTCCGTCTGTCTCATTCAGCGCCTCACCTGTTGTTTTCTGCCGCCAGCCTTTCACGTTCAGAATATTTTACTGAAGAACAGGATGAACTGAAGGAGGCAGTCCAAAAACCAAGTTTAAGTCCAAACAACAAATCCAAACTGACATGAGCGGTACTCCACAGAGTGAAAATCCACAAGACAATGGGGAACACGAAAAGCGGTGCAGCAGGCTCAAACAAAGACTGAGTACAGGCAAGTGCAAACAATCAACCCAGAAACAGAAGGACAGGAAACAAAACTAGACAATGACACCAAGGACAAAAGGAAACAAGAAACACAAACACCAACACCCCTGAACTGTGACACTGCCTCCATTTCTGACTTCTAGCAAGAAGCCTCAGTTTCTCATTTGTGAAGTTATGAATAAATCTAACTGTGAATTTCCTTTCATATCCTTGTCCATGTCCTGCTGTTGGGTTCTCAGGAGTCATAGGAGGCAAACACGACTCCTGCGCAGTGTAGTAGAAATATTCAGATCAACTGATGATGATTTTCATTTTGGATCTGCTGATTATTTTCTCCATTAATCGATTGATTGTTTGGTTTGTAAATTTTGCCGTCACAATTATCCCGAGCCCGAAGTGACACCTTCACAATGCTTGTTGTTTCCAACCAACAGTCCAGACCTCAACGTTATTAACAAACATTCAAATTAGTACAGTCATTCAGAGGAAAAGCAGAAAGTCTTCAAATGTGAGCAGCATAGCAGGAAAAATGACAATTATCACCACCTACAGAGCGCCTTTCGTCAATGAAGAAAAAAAAAGAAGTAGTAACGTTAATAGTAGTAGTCAACTGGTTTATTAGAAGTAAGAAAAGAGGAGATGTTTGATAATGTTAATCCAACACATCTTTGTCTTAGCGTCCAGGTTGATTCCACATTCAGACTTACACATGAACACACACTGAAGTCAGGAGATCGACTTCCCAACTCAGGAAATGGGACCATCCGAAGAGCACATGAATGCACCGTGAGCCGCTGGTTGCAATTCACAACCCTCACCACTAGATGCCACTAAAACATATACACGTTCAATGTGTATGTATATGACAAGAACTGCACCAGCAACGACACCTTCCCCGTCAACCAAGCAAGCAACGTCATCTTCTCCAGCAACGGACGCAACAGCGACACCTGCTCCAACAGCTACACCTATAACATCTACAACTACCACATCTAGATCTACCACATCTACAACTGTAGCACTCATTACACCAGCGGTGACTTTCAGATCTGTTCAAAGCACATTTACAAGTGACTTGAACAATGCATCATCTGCAGCATTTAGAGTTTCAATGATAAAGACACAGGTAAGTCAAACTCTTAGAATAAAATCTCCTGGTACAATTACTGAACTTTTTCTTCAGAGAGCTCAAGCCCCATTCAGAGAACTGAAATGTTATGGTAACACTTTAAATACAGCTAATACTCTAGTATTTATTTTTGTATCTTTCTAGGTGTTAAATTTTTTAGGTAAATTATCTGAATAGTGTTTTTATCGCTTATTCTTTTTTTAAAGTGATTCTTTGCCCATGTAAAGCACTTGCCTCTGTGTTGAAATGTGCTGTTTAGCCTAAGGTAAATAAAGCTGCCTTCCACACTGCCTCAGTATCTAAAACCTGGCTCCGCAACCCGCACCACATCTTCTGCAGACCTGATCCCGCACGAACCGTTTTTTAAAAATAATAAAGGTTGCACAAAGCTTTGACACGTTAAACTCCCCTGCTGTCTCCAGAGCACATTCACTGCGCAGTTACTCCCCTCCCGACTCCAAACTGCACAAACCCTCCCGCGCCGCACTGCCGCCGAGCGCGCACACACACAAACACACGCGCCCCTCTGTGCAGAGCAGTGAACACCATCACCAGACACAACCACCGTCTCAGGGCGCAGACACAACACCGACAGCCCGGACAGGTGAGTGCAGCTCTCTGCCTTCTTCCTCCTAACCGCGGCGGTGGGGTTTGTTTTCATTTTTTATGTGTCTTCTTTTCCCAAAACGAATCACAGTCACTTAAAAAATTGTACAGCTGTTTCTGGTGTATGTACCGAGGCAGAAACAACCCGCACAGCAGCTGACAGAGGCTCGTTAAGATGCTCAGGGAGCGCGTTTGGATGAAAGCTGGTCACTAGCAGGAGAGGTCTTTTCTCAGCCTGTGTGACAATAACAGGCTGCAAAACACCACACACGCATTTATAAGTTAAAATCCACATGCAGGCTGCAACTTCAGCTCCATGAGCATGAGAAGATAGATGCAGCGATGAGTGCAGTGGATTTAATTGGTTAATTGTTGTTTAATTGGTCTTGACTGGGATTATTGGCTGGCAGAAAGTTCCCTGATTTAATGGAGTTTATCAGTTTAAACCGAATATTGTTGTTGTTGTTTTAGGGTCACAAACGAGCTAAATATTGGAACTTCTTCCATAAAACCATGAGGAGGGTTTTTCTTGCACCCAGAGAAGTAAAAATTGGTTATAAACCGATTCAGTCTTGTCAGTGTGTTGGTGACAAGTTTTTTGCATTTAAATGAAACTTTAAAACATAAATTGCTGGTTTGTACGGAGAGAAAACAGTCTCAAAATGTGTGACAGATAATTCCACATATAAAAGCAAGAAACAAATATGTATTATGATGATTTGAGAATAAATTATAGGGCTTAGACAATTCATGGAGTTGTCTATCAACAGAAAATGAATATATATATATATAATATTATAATATTATATAATTTATTATTATCATTTTCAAGCAAAACTGCCAAAACCCTCTCTGTTTCCGGCTTCTAAAAATGTGATGACTTGTTTAGTTTTATATTTTCAACATAAACAGAATATGTTTGAATCTTGGATCTCCTTTGTTTTGGTTTTGTATCTGAAGCCAGATTATGGCATCTTACATTGATGAGTCATATATGCAAATGTCTGCTTTGTGCTGCGCTGCCAGACTTGAAATGTTATTGAACTTTGAACTGAATGTAATTGGACACTTGAACTTTACACTTTGAAAATGCATGCTGTTCATATGCCAATGTAAGTCCAATTTTGCATGCAGGTGCTCCACCAACTCTCCCCACTAACTTCTGTGCAGAGCTGATCCAAATACCACGCATCACCTTGAACCGTTGTGACGTCGCCTGCGAGGCTCACAGTGGCCGTTTTTCCATCAACATTTTTTTATGCGCATTTTGAAAAGTCGCATTAGAAAAGGTTGATGGAAACTTGAAAATTGGAACAAATCCTTAATTTCGCTAAAAAAAAGTTCGAGGTGGTTTTTGTCTTTGTTGAAAAAGAGTTATTGCGCTAAATGGGAGATGGAAGCACTTTTGCCGAATAAGCTCTGACGTAGCGAACATGTAACTCACGTCTGATCAGTTTCCGCTGTCGGCGTCTTGCCCGATATTCCCATAACGTGCGGAGACATGGCTGGTGGCAGCTTGCCCGCTTGAAACACATTCCTGAGGACCTCTCTCCATTTTTCTAAGATCCATGGCCCTCAGGTTCATGCAACTGGTCTTGTTTCTGGTTTGGAACCCATACGTCTTGTTTATTACAGCCATGTGTAACATCAACTACTGACGTAGGCTAACTATGCTTGCCATACCCTGGTGTATTTGCTCCAAACTAGCTGATGGAAACACACCTATTTCGCATTAACTTTTTTGACATTTCAAAAGTCCGCTTTGCATGAAATTAGATGGCTAGTGTGTCTCAATTTGCGCCCTTCCTACTATTTTGGGTGCATTCACACTGAGAAGTATGGCAAAAAGCAGTGCAGCACTGGACACTTGTCACCCTCAATGGTCGCCATCTTGGCTACATAGCAGTAGAGGAGGGACCGCCAACGGATTTTAAAGTGCTGCAGTGGTTACGATCGTAAAAGTAGAAGTACGTTCATTTTTATTAATATTTAATTAAACTGATTTGAAGTAAGCGAGCAAACAAGCTAGCAGATATTTTGGCGGCTGACAATCATGGCCAAATGGTGGCAAAAATGATCCTCCGGTTACAAATCGCCAATCAAAAGATGAAGAAGAAGAAAAGTTTAAATCTTGCAGTCGTCATATCTGGTTTACGCACAACCACTATCGCGTTAAAACTCGAACAGCGTCCCGTTTGTCTGCCCGATCCATCCGTTCGACTCTTTTATGGCATTTATACATAACAGTATCGACAGTATTTAGAAAGAATCACACAAATATTTTGATGAATACTAAAAAGGAAAAATTTTAGTTTTTGCCAAATAGTTGAATTGGCCCACATGCCGCTATTTGCCTACAACTGCTGTAGCGGTTTTAATGAGCTCTAATAGTTCAGGCTACAGTAAATGTTGCTGGCAGCTCCTGTGAACAGACAGCCTACAGCCTGAGAAACAAGCAGATGTTGTCACGCTGTTCACATCTTACAGTGAAAGACATTGTGGAAAATAATTAACATTTCATTCTTCTTCATTCAGTGGTAACAGATGGCCTCATTGTCTGATTGTCTCCACAGTCCAATCCACAGCACCTCTTCATCAACAACACCAGTCATGTTTCTAATGTGTTCTTTTGAATGTTATTTAACAATATTATTTATGGTGATTGTTACCAGAGACTCGAGTTTGAGACTCGGACTCGAGTTCGACTTAAGTCGCACAGACAGTGACTTCAGACTCGACTTGAGACTCGTCCTTAAAAGACTTCAGACTTGACTCGGACTTGAGGTGCAGGACAACAAACAGTGGCAGCTGCTGTGCCATTCATCATAAACTTTAAAACTTCAAGTGCTGAACGCAAATTTGGTTAGTAACCTGAGGTTAGTGAACATGTTTAGCTCAGCATTGGCCATCTAATGCTAGCTTGCTTCTTGCTTTAGCTACGACCGTTTTGAAAAGATGAACGAGCGTTTGTTTACTTGCCAAACTTGTGGTTGTCGATATACATAATCATTTACCTCCCGCTGGCTGCCATTATTAATTATTCACGTCAGCTGCAAACAGGTTACAGGTTTATTGTTCATCATGTAACGTTACAGTTTTATTTAGTTAACGTTTCACTGGTTTGAGAGTCTGGGAATGTGTTGACTTACAGGAGTTTAGAAGCTGTCATTAATCGCATTGTACATTACATGGTTGTGCTATGTGAAAAAGAGGATACAGGTTTATTGTTGATCATGCAACGTTACAGTTTTATTTTGTTTGAGAGTCTGGGGGATGTGTTGACTTACAGTAGTTTAAAAGCTGTTATAGATGCATTGTCCATCATGCTTCATGGTTGCGCTATGTGAAAAACAAGTTACAGGTTTATTGATGATCATGTGACATTACAGTTTTATTTAGTTAACGTTTCACTGGTTTGAGAGTCTGCAGGGTGTGTTGACTTACAGTAGTTTATAAGCTGACATTAATTTCACATTACATGGTTCTACTCTGTAAGTGAAAAACAGGTTTCAGTTACAGAATTCCTTATAGCTTTGCAGTTTTACAGTATAAGCAGCCTGGATTGACATGAACATTCATTATAACCACGAGTGACTTGACCTCTTGACATGGACTCTAGCTCAAAGACTTGTGAGCATCTCTGATTGTTACAGCATCTTTTCATACAAGGCACAGTGATCCTGATAATGTTGATCTTCAGGCTCCGTCTCTTTTTAGCCACCTGAGCAGGGTGCCTCTATAGCGCCACCACAAGTTATTTTAAGAAATGTTTAGGGAAACAGCTCAACCGATTTCGATATTTGATGATTTTAAAATCTGATATGCAGATATGTTGACCGATATTCTTTCCCCCCTTATTTTAAGAAATACATAACATAAAGATTTTATTATGTTGAGACCATACTAAGATGCAACACTCATGACCTGAGGGAAGGATCCGACTCTCTGTTTCTTTTTTTAATAGCCATAGATTGGCTGTTATTAACCTAGATGCAGATATATCTGCAAGTAGCTAATGTCGGCCGATAATATCTGCAAAACCATAAATCGGTCGGGCTCTAGTTGGCATCCATTGTGCAGCACCTGGGGAGCAATTAGGAGTTCAGGGCCTTGCTCAGTGGCACCTTCGACAGTGGTCCATCCTGGACTCAACCTGCAGCAATCAGTATTGTTTACCGAGCAGTAATTAGACTATGTAGTTAGTGGGACGTTTCATACGTTTCTCCAAACAGTCTCCACAATCTTTTCTGGTAAACTTACCCTTGGGCAGGAATCACTGACCTGCTGTACTGTAGGTCCTCAGTTTGCATTTTCATTAAATATTTCATGCCCATTATTATGAAAGTCCAGTAATTACAATTAAGTCCCAAGTAGGTAACATAATCAATTTTCATAACAACGAAGCACAATAACTCAGTGCAGCATTTGTGTAATAAATCAAACACAGTGCTTTTAAAGTGGGTTTTACATATGAAAATCAGTAAGAATGATTTGGCCAAATTCAATTGGACTCTCATGCAACACTTAGTGTCACAGAACAGACAGACTGACTGTAGCGGGGGCCGCCAGGCGCCATCACCGCCTCCAACAGTCAGCCACTTTAAGGCGAATTCATCATATTGTCAATCCACTGTGCAGGCTAGTATCCGCTCTCAATTCTATGGAAGCCTATTTCTGCCCCAAACAACAACATGAAAATAAGACACAATATGAATTTTAAAAAATGAAGGTGGGTCAAAATAAATAATAATAATAACAAATAATTGCCTCAATATTGCATAATTTTGAAAGACAAAGTAATAAAACCACAACTTTAAACACTAAGGCTGGTGTTACTCTATTTTCAAATACCATGAAAAGACCCAAACCAAGTCTGTTAGTTCATCTTTCAATACTTGTTTTCCTGTCTGTAGCTCTCAGCTCTGAGCCCACTTGTTCCTGTTAAAGACATAAATCTTTAAAAACACCTCACAAATATAATATTTAATGTTTAGAAAG